AAAAAAAAAAAAAAAAAAAAAAAGCTGTACAGTGGCTTCCAGAAACAGAAGGGGGACAGCAGGTGCTTCATATCAGAGTGACTCTACAAGCAAAAAAAAAAAAAAAGCTTAGAACCGAAGATAAGAAACCTAAAATACATGTAGCAGATGTGAAAAATATCAGTTTAATTTAGATCTGTAATGACTCGCCGAGCATAAATATAAACCTTGAAATGCACTGAGGTGAACCCCCCCAACAAAAAAAAAAAAAAAACATGTTTACCATCACGAACAGATCCTCTAGGATTTGCAAGTCTGTGAGGGCCCAGAGCAGCTAGTATGCTGAGACTGTGGGGCCCGGTGGTGGGGGATGCGCTGCGGTGAGGAGACCTCCTGCGTGGAGGACGGGTCTGGGCCTGCAGCTTCTCCAGCGTCTCATGTTTGCTGAGGGCCGAGTCTAAAATCTGAAGGGAGTCGGGCAGAGAGGCTTAGGGACCGGATTAAACACCATAATAAAGAACCAAAAAAACTAAATAACCAACCCTTGTACTGTATCATCACCTTCCTACAAAACGGCTTATGTCATTTTTTTTCCAATGTTTTTTTTTTTTTTTTTGCCTAAATCATTTTTTTTGCCAAGAGAGAGGTTGTTGTTTTTTTAGCCAAAATTACTTTTGGCCAAAAAAAAAAGACTTAAGCCATTGTTTTAGGAAGATGAAGATATTCAAATAACTCTCAACTTCTATATATTTTAGCAATAAACTTCTATGTATTGTCTCAACTTCTAAAACTAATTATTATAAAATTAATATTTAAATTAAACCGACACTGTGTGAAGTTTGCATCTGTTTTTGCGACTAGATTACAATTTTTAATCTAGTCTTCACACATTTTCACATCAGAAGCTCTGTCAACACATAAATAGTAAAGCACAAACAATTAACATTTCTTGTTGTTTGTGAGACATTTGAGTGTAATGAACAGTTAATTAACTGTAATTAATCGCAATTAATTGTATTTCATTTTAATTGTTAATTAATTAGACATGTGAGCTCAACAACAGAGACGTGTTGCTTTTAATAATGTTATTTATGTGATTCTGCCGTCAGATTGGTGCAAAGTGCTATTATACCGATTCAGCTTTTGAGTGTTTCAGGAACGCGCTGATTGGAGTCAATCGGTGTAACGTTTATAAATCAGTAGGCAGAAGTTGATGTCACCACTCCTCATTCGCATAATGAGGCAGAAATTACAGTCAAGTGAAAAGAGGAGACAGGAAAATGTAAAAACAACACATGAAAATAAAAGAAGTTAATCAAATCTAATTCGTTATTGATCCCAACAGGGAAATTAAATAATATGTGGGAAAACAAGAAAAACAAGTAAAAGAAAAACAAAAAAATATATTTTTAAAAGCAGTCCAATTGGAAATTATGTGCAAATATTACTTGTTGGAACAAGACTGGAAAAAACACGAACAATGAATGTCAGTTCAATTCTAAAACATGATTTAAAGTTCTAAGTTTTTAAAGTAATTGGTACATTTTAAGTGTATTGATTTATTCACTGGGCCATTCGTATATTTACTTTTTTATTATGTCAGATTTGGTCCTCCATGTCAGCATACACTGTAGTTGTGATGTAATAAACAAAGCTTTTCATCAGGAGCTATATTCACTTTAAATCTCTGCTGTCATAACAGCTAAAGATTTAATTCATGTTATTATTTCTTGTTCACGAATCTACAATTATTATTCCCCCCCTATTTTCAAAGTAATTTCAACACTAATTGAGATTGTGGAAACAAGTCCATAATGAGCAGCTGTAACATAAAACAACAACATTCGTGCTTCACCTCCAGTTTCTGCAGAATATCCAGGGCCGTCTCAGGTACAGCCGACCCCTGGTCCACTTCCACCTTAGCCGAGCACAGAGACAGCTGCCGGATCAGCTGGCCCAGCTCTTTGTAATGAGGGGGCACCTTGCTGTGAGGTCGATCTGAGAGCTGGTGGATGACGACCTGCAGGGCCCTGAGAGCGCCCCGGTGGGCGGCCGCCAGCCTGCCGACCGCCACCGACTGAAACAGGAAGAGGAAAGCTCGCTGAACGACTAAAGCAGCAGAGTGTAGTCTGGTACTTTAGCAGAATGAGACTTGGACGTGTGCTTCCAGAATTGTCGGTTATACACTTTTGTTTACTAGGGACAAAGGAGTGAAAATAAAAACACAAGTTCCTTCAAGTTTTATCACTTTCAATTATTTAAAATGATGTAGTTATAAACTACATGCGGATAAAAACTACAAAGTGAATATTGTTTTATGTTCCAGCTGCTCATTATGGACTTGTCAAGGGGAAAAAAATCTCAATTACTGTTGAAATTACTTTGAAAATATTATAATTGTACGTTCATGAGTATTAGGGCTAGACTAAGACATTTTTCTTTTATTATGAGAATGAAACTAAAATATTATGGCAACAAAAGTCATAAATTAGAAATAAAAACACAAAAACACCACATGAAAGTCATACAATTACAGGAAAAAGTTAGTTTACTTTATTGTGATGTGACTTTTTTCTTGTAATATAACTTTATTCTGGCACTATTTTAAATGTATTGTCTTACTGACTTTTTTCTGATTTTGCTGTGACTTTATTCTGGTATCATAACTTTACTCTCGTATTATTCTGACTTGCAGTCGTATGACTTTTTTCCCCCAATGATTTAATTATTTTTATTCCCAGCCTGGCTCTAACACTCTATCATAAAAAAAAAATCACCTACCTTTTTTGTCTCCCACATTTTCTCTCTTTTGAGTTTTTCAATATCATCTTGTATCTCTTTCACCTGAAAGAACAGTATTTGCAGCTGAAGGCACATAAAACACACTTTATCACATTACCTGTTAACTAAAATATAAATACCTGTCGTTGCAGAACATAAATGATGCGAGCTGAGCGCGCGGCCTGTTTCTGCCTGCGTATCTCCAGCTTGATTTGCTCCTCTGGGTCCAAAGACTCCTCCAGTTGTTCACCTGCAGAAAGGCCTGATCATGATCAACATACAGTAAAAAAAAAACAAAAGAAATCACTGAATGTGGAGGTGACTTTGCTAACTGGGTCTATTTTAAAAAAGCACTGATCTGGTTTGTCTTTGATGGAGGTAGTCAATCAAATAAACAATAATAATAATACAGTATAAGCTTCATTCAAAATTGTGCAGCGTGTGCCAGTTTTTTCGATTAATCGTCAGAAAAAACAACAGGTTAATGATAACTGTTAGTTCAGAATCAGTTTAAAGACAGCTCTCACTGTCTGCAAAAATTACCTCGATTAGCTAGCTCCTCCACTTTCCTAATGTACGTTTCCAGCTCATTCTGCAGTTTGCGGATCTCGTTGCTTAAATGTCCCGGTTTGCCTCCTTCCATCTGCCTTATACCGGGGTCTCTTGTTGGAGGAGACTGGCCAACACCGGGCATTAAAGAAGAAGGATTTTTCTTGGATGGTCGCTGTTTAGCACCGATCGGAGCCTTCTTTTCCTTTGACGTGGCCATGTTAGATTCTTGCTTGCCTGGAGCCGCTACTAGCTCCTACAGAGACAAGAAAATAGTTATTTCAGTCTTTGTTCGAATAACTATTTGGAAACTTTTTTTTTTTTTTTTTTTTTTTTTTTAAGTTAGTTTACCTGAAGCAGCTCCACATCACTTGTTTCAAAGAGAGAGGCGTCCTGCAAATGTTTCGGTGAAGTCTTTGCAAGTGACCCGAGGTGCCTTCGCCTTAGGTCTCGCTTGGCCAATTTGACAGCAGCCTGCAGCCTCTCCTCGGAAAGCACGGTGAAGCTGCGGGAGCTGCGGGAGCTGCGCAGGCTGTCCGTACTCTCACGCATCTCCAGACGTGGAAGCAGTCTCTCTATCACAATGGGAGCTGGAGGGCCTACACGAGTGGCACGGTTGACCACACTCACGGGAATGGCTTCATTAAACAACAACTATCAAAGAAATGAAAATCCCAGAGATACATTTTATGTCAAACTAGTTTTTGACAAATGTCTTCGGTGTCTGTAAAAGAAGCGAAATTGCTTTGTTATTTCGCAAGAGACCAAATGAAGGTGAGCTATAAGCAAACTTAAACTTCTTTTCTGTTTAGCTTAGCTGTTTGACATGCTTCCATAATAGGCTATATGTACATGCCTTGCATAGAACTATATGCAGTTCTACATTATTAAGCATCTCTAAAAGTTATTGGTGGCATAATTTATTTATTAGCTTTAGTGAAATACGAAAGCTGAGCTAAATAACTTGAAAACTTAAACATTTGTTTACCTTTGTTTGGGACGTCCTAGTTGTTGAATTGTTGCTGTTTCGGGCTGAGTCTACATAAACCCAGTTTCTTTCCTGGTTTTGAAGTCCTGGTAACTTTGCCGGCATTGCAGCGACAGACGTCATAAAAACACTGGTAACAACTGTAAATAATAATTTAAAGCTAATGCTAATACCTATTAGCACGAGCAACCTAACACAACCTTTCTATGCACCTCGTTTACTTCAGGTTAACCCCAAAACTGACGATTCCACCATTTTGTCGTCGTTTATAGCCAGCTGTTTAAGTCTGGAATTAAAGAATATACCGACGGGAAGAATACCAAACTAAAACATACACTGTGAATAAGGTTTTAAAATCCCGAGAAGTCTGGACAACAGTTTGAAACGGCGCCATGACAACAACAGGCGGAAGTAGTTCTTTCTTTTTCATTTTTCCTTTTTTTTAAAAAAATATCAATATCGTAAGTAAAAAAATAAATAAATAAATAAAATTGTATTTTTGTTACTTAAGAACATGTAAAAATTATGATACATATATTAACAATTATTTAAAAAAATATTAAATAAAGCAAAGACGACGCGACGGGCGAAATATTATGGCAGGCCGTTTTAACATAAAATCGACTTCGTCTGCCTGCCCGTAATTACATTCTAGATATCTAAAAATGCAATTTCACTATCCCGAATGGTAACTTAAGATATCTACTATTACATTTTGACAAGTATGAATAATAATTTAAGATATTCTAAAGAACATGTTGATGAGTATATTTTTTTCAATATGTCTCAAAGGCATCGAGAATAAAAATTTTCACAGTAGCTAATTCAATTTGAGATATTTTTGGAACTTTATAAGGAATGTCAAAAATATTTATAAGTTTTGTCCTGTAGTTATTTGCTTTCAAGATATTTGCAATTTAATTTGGATTTATTTAATCTAATTACCTGATATCTTAAAATACATGTAAGATATAATGAATAATGAGTACCATAAGACATCTTTAACTGGAAATATAACTAGTCAGAATAAAAAGGCACATATATAAATACAACTTACTTCAAGGCTAGTGATAATTTCTTGCTGATATCTGAAATATATCTTTCAGATAGTCAGCAATTTATTGTAGATATCTTCCTACAACTTTATGGTAATTTGATGTCATTTCTACCAGTTAGAATGTAATTGTAATTCGAAATATCTCAAATAGATATTTTGTCAAGTCAAAATATAATTAGAGACCTCTTAATTAACTAACACACCTAGTCATGAAGCAATTTCAGATTTTACAAAAAAGTAAGTGTAGTGAAGCCGATTTTATGTTAAAACAGCCCGCTGTACATGGGCGAACTCTCGTGCTCGATCACTTTAAGAACCGCTGCTCAACCCGGAAGTAGTCCTTCAACTTCTGATTTTTTTTATTTTGTTGCAACTTCAGCGTTCCAACGTAGCTGTTTGTAGCATCTCAGACTGAAAGTTACAGTCAGATTTCACATCTTCTCAATCGAAAGCATGGCCGGTTATGAAGTAGTGAACGTGCACGGATACGAGGAGTTCTGTAAGGCGGTGTCTGAGAGAAAAGGGAAGGATATCTTCGCGTATTTTTCAGGCAATAAAGACGCCGAGGGAAAGAGCTGGTGTCCAGATTGTGTGAAAGGTAATATAGCTTATGTCATTGTGCGAGACTGGCTGCATAATGTTTGTCATTTGTTGCTCTAAAATATTTAGATTTGTATTATTTATTTTTATTTTGCATAAAAGAAAAAAATTCTTGGCTTTTATTTTTCAGCTGAGCCAATTGTAAGGGGGGAGCTGACTCATCTTCCTGAGGGCTCAGTCTTCATTTATTGTCAAGTTGGAGATAGGCCATAGTAAGTTTCTTTCTTCTTCTTTTTAAGAGGAATATTGATGAAATATTCGTTATTGACCAGCAGAATTACTGACTGTAGTATGTCAAACAGAAAACGTATAGTATTTAAATTATGTTGTAGTGAGAAAAAAAAAACAAGTCATCAATCAATTTCGATTTACTTGATGAGGGTTTATTTTTATGACGTTTCAATTGTAAAAATTTGTTTTTTTTCATACATTTAAACAATGTCTGTTCAAGTTCATAGTCTGTGACTTGTGATAGATCCAGCTTGGTCAGTGCTGAGCTGTTTATCTTAAGTTAAAAGCACTTTTTAAAATAAAATTGAATGAATAATACATTCCCTCCCCAAATTGCATTTTTTATTTTTTTTTTAAGCCTATAGAGCTGATATTGCTGTTTGTTTTTTGAATACTGAAGAAATAGGTTTGCTGCAGTAATGTCTACCTTGTGCTTTAGTTGGAAGGATCCAAACAACGACTTCAAGAAGACCCTGAAGTTGACTGGAGTTCCCACTCTGCTGCGATACGGCACAGTAAGTAGTTCATCGTTTAATGTTTGAATCTACAGTAATGACTACTTAGAGTCTGGATGTGAAAGTCGACAGAGATGTTTTGAAAAACCAAATGTTGTTAAAAAGGCTCTCTTAAATAAATTTAAAAAAAAATACCATCTGCCATCAGGGCAGTGCTACAAGCTAACTGTGATCTTTGTGCTGCAGCCTCAGAAGCTGGTGGAGGAAGAGTGCTTCAAGCCAGATCTGGTGAAAATGATGTTCACTGAAGACTGAATGGTCCCCAGCTCATAAAGAGCCAACATTTCTTCACTAATCAACAGTTTACACTGCTTCATTCAAGCACTTAATAATCACCCAATTCTGATCTGAATATAAATTGGTGCAACGGCATCGCTAGCTGCATTTTTACAAAATCAACAAGTCTGTCACATGCAGCTCCCCGACTCTTTATTTTGAAGGATCCATTTCTTCTTTGATTATGCTGTGCAATCAGTAAATAAAGTACTGTGTATAAATACACATACACACACTAATTGTTGATTCAAAAAGCAACTAGAGATTTTTATATTGTGATATTTTTTTTCCCATTGCCTTGCAATTGAACTTAAATAAATATTTGATGTTGAATAGTTAAAAACGGTGCATTATTTGCAATTTGTTACGTCTTCCTCTTGTCAACTGTTCCTTCAGAGGTCACCAGAAAGTTTCATCTGCCTCCTCCAAAACTTGATGTGTAAAGAACATGTAAAGGGCTTCTGCAGTAGTCATGAGATGTTCAGTTGTTTCTAAGGATTCATGTCTCCATTTGGATCTTCACAAATATTCATCCACCTCACCTCCAGACTTTTTCATTTGTCATTTTGCAACCACAAACCACAGTGTTTTATTGAGATTTCTATATGATAGACCATCACATAAAATAAAACAAATATATATTTAAAATAAAATCGAATAACACAAACTAAATGTTCACAAACTAAATGTTATTACACATGGGAAACCATTTTTATTATTTTTACAGCGTGGCACAAGTAACGGGTCATTCCTCCTGCTGCCACACATGGGGAAATATAGCATGAAATTGTTTACTGTAAATTTAGGGTTTTATCAGCTGATGTTACTTTCAAGTAGTTAAAATAATATGGAACACATAAATATCACTCTGCATTTCAAAATCCAAATATATATTGTTTGCCACTCCTGTAGGATTAAAATCATTAGCAATAACACTGGTATGATGTAAGCTAATTACAAACAGTAACATGTTTGCTAGTGATGGCAAACATGTTACATAGAGTAGCTTAGGAACAATAAAGCATTTGGTGTTGAGATGTTGGTATAATGCGGCTCCAAATGAAAATCTGCTAAGGCCTCAAAAAGTGCCGGACCGACCCTGAAACACACCGCAAAAGGCTTTTTTGATGTTCTCCAAAAGCACAGGTGTCTAGAAGAAGGAGGTAATTAAGCCATTTCATTCCAGTGTTTTGTACCTGTGGCACATCTAAAAACTGCAGGACAGTGGCCCTTGAGGACTGGAGTTTGACATCCCTGTCCTAAAGTATCGACTGAATAAAGAAGGCACCCTCACATGTTGTTTTCCGGTAATGACCGCTAGGTGGCAGCAGACTTTTAGAAGTTGCTGGGTCGCTCAGGGTTTACAAAAATCCAATGAAATTCACTCAGAATATATAAAATAAAACTTATATCAATACAGTAATTTCCTGTAACAAATATGTGTGTGCGTGTGTGTTTGTGATGAAACAGAACATTCGCGTAAGTAGAAATATTAAAATAAGAGAGTTGAGAATAAAAACATAAAAACAAAATAAAGTCTAATTTAGCCTCATTTTGAGGTATTACTGCATTAAAACCCTCATATGACATGCAGGAGAAGTGAACTCTTATTTAGCAACAACTGGCGTAAAAGAGCGATTTCATGCTAAATGGGAGTCATCTCCGTTGCAGTCAGGGAGATTTAAGCGAGGCGCATTCCTGCACAGCGCTCAGAGCGGAGGGACGAGCAGAGCCGTGGCGAAGCCCACACAACCGCAACGCCTCTCTCCTTATCTCCGGGGCTCGGAGCTCCCCTCACAAACCTCTCGGCTCTCGGTGGAGGTGAAAGGAAGTGCTGGGTGTCGCCCCGAACACACGCCGCGGTTACATGTGCAGCAGCCTCGGCTGAAGAGGGAGCGGGAGGGGGGTTACGGTTGTGCCTGCGTGTGGCTGCGTGTTCTCGGACCGTGTCGAGCCGCGATGTCGGAGTTTCTGGTGAGTCTGCTCGGGGAGCGGCTCGTGAACAGCGAAAAAGCCGAGGTGGACGTGCAGTCTCTGGGCGCGAGACTCTCCCTGGTCGGGCTCTTCTTCGGGTGCAGCCTGAACGCCCCGTGCAAGCAGTTCAACGGCAGCCTGTGCGAGTTTTACAGCCGCTTCAAAAAGGCGTCTGAGCATAAGGACAAGCTGGAAGTCGTCTTCGTGTCGTCCGACCAGGACCAGAAACACTGGCAGGACTTTTTGCAGGAGATGCCGTGGCCTGCGTTACCTTTCAAAGACAGACACAAAAAGGTAAGAGAGAGGCCAGGCGGTGATGAAGGGCAGCCCAGCCTGGCGGACCAGTCCCTGGTTACAAGTGACCTGGAAGCCACTGGAAACAAAATGCCTATACTTTTTTTTTCTCGCTGTCTTTATGCACATCTGGAGTTTAGTTTGATTCTTCTAAACAAGCCAATATGCTTTTAATTTGCCCATAATCTGTCATGATAACTGCAGATTATCAGTAGTAGATGAGATAAACTCAAATGAGTTAAAAACACTGAGTCTATTCTGGGCTGAGACTAATTAATTTCACAAGATCTAATCAGGGAATTAAAGTATGATGCCATTGTTAATAACTTTATCTGAATTATGCTTAATAAATCAGGCTGTTGATAATTGCGTCTGCTGGAATAAGCCAGACTTTAATTCACCCAGTTCTATCTGGACGTAAATGTGCTGCTGCAGACATTCCTGAGTTATTATTAGGAGGGGAAACACATTGGACTTCCTTCTGGCTTTCCGCTTTCCACACACTAATGATTTTAGCCAGAGACAGGCTGGAGAACCGTCAAATTAGAGAACGATTATGGCAATTTAATGCCTGTTTTTTTGTTATTTGTCCATTCAGTTTAGGTTGCTGCAAATAGCCAAAAGCCTAAAATACTGCCAATATAGTATTTTCAGCTTTTTGTGTGTTTCCAAAAACACACAAAAAGATTTGAATCCATTTGAAAGCACTTTTTTCTTGTTTAAAATTTTTATTTTTATATAGATGCGCATATATATATATATATATATATATATATATATATATATATATAAAATAATACACCAATTAGTTTATTTTCCTGGCAAGAAGTCTTTTGTCTGGCTTTATGTGGGGGTCTGACCCACTGATGTCCATTTTGACAAACTCTAATTTTATTCATTTTTTTTTTCTAATTCTAGGGACAAAAACTTATAAAAGCCAAATGTGCTGCATGTTGGAGAGAAATAGAAAATCAGAGTTTATACATCAAGGCGTATGTTGCTAACCTTTATTATTATTAAATTCCCAGAAAACATGCATCGCACTACGTGCTGTTTTTAGATGAAAAATGGGAGGAAGTTTCTAGTTATGACCCACATGAGGAAGGAATTACAGGATTTCATGTTTTTATTTTCAGTATTTGACCTGCAGCTCATCAGTCTGAGCCGATCAGTTGAAAATCAGATCCCAGATTCTGACTGATTGTTTGCTGCATCTAATCTTGCATTTTTTTAATTTTATTTTATTTTTTTACAATAACTGGAATTTACAAACTTGCTACAGCTTCTTCAAATTTAGTGAAAACAAGGTTTTGTTTTTTCCTCTATAGCCGAATAACTTCAAACGTAGCTGAGTATTTCTTATTTATTTCCGGATTTGTGTGAATAAAAAATCGCTTTTTTAGAAAATTTCAGCTGTAACAATCCAATGGAAATATCTTTTTTTTTTTTTCCCCCCTCACACATCATGCTGGTGGATTTTTAAGTTTCTGTACAAATGCATTTTTCTGTGTCACTATATCCCGGCCATGTTGGCGGTCTTTGCAAACAATGGAGCAGAGGATTATGTTGCAGGAATTGCGTGTGTGTGCGTCTGGAGGCCAGGCCAGCGTCCTGATTACAGCGTCGGTCTCATGCATTTCTATATGATTAAAAAAGACATTTAAAAAAAAAAGTCCCAAATTGGCTGAAACGCCTCAGCATGTGAATTCTGACATTAGCAGAGATTTTTATTGCATTTTCTAAAATGAAACATCAAAAATATCTTTTGGATTTGATTATATTAAAATATGAGCTTGAGAGACTGAAACACTTGAATACGAGTTCCCATCTCCACTACTTTCCCATAAATAAAGGATTCACCTTCTTCAGTGAAACCACAGCAGCCTTCCTCATCGTTTGCTTGGCAGGATTTGGACTGAAACATTGTCCTGTAAATTATTTTTGATCGCTGGTGATTGTTTCCGTTACACCTCATAATGAACTCCAGGTCTGAATGAGGCTCAGATGATGGAAGAGGAGGAGGAAGAAGACGAGGGCAGGGTTGTCCTGGGGAGCTGAGCACGTCCACCGTCGCACTGCAGCCTCATTATGTTCTCTAACCCAGAGCGGAAAATATCTGTGGCATCGACATGGGCATTGTTCGCGCTCTTCTTGGTGGTCCGCCTGCTGTCCGTCTGTCTGTCTGTCTGGGCCTCGTGTTGCAGTGTGCAGCTGTCCAGCTCTGTTTGGCTCTGGGTCACGTTTTGAAATATTCCTGCTATGTGCTGGCCGATATGGGCTTAAAAGTTTTATTGTGATATTTTGTGGTGCTACAACGATAAAAGTGACTATTAAAAACTACTTATTACTTATTTTTCTAGGTAACTGTATGACTCTGTGGTCTTGTGTCACAGCAATCCAGAGCCCCATGAACACAAATAATGTTCTTGGTGAAAAAACATTCCTATTTGTAATGCGTTTCTTTAGGACACTGGTCACGTAAAGAAGTGCCTGGTGGTGAACGAGTGCATCACTCAAATTTATTGGGTATTTAGTGATGCTTTTATTGAACAAACGGTGGAGAGAAAAAAATAAAGTAAAACTAACAATCGCAACAGTAAGGACAGTTCTGAGGGAATTTAAACTGCATTTGAATTCATCATGATACCGATACATGAGAAATTTATCACGATAAATGATGAACAATACAATAAATACTGCATACACAGTAAAAAACGAAGTGTCAATTTAACACCTATAGAGTTGAATTTAACTCCGTTTCAGATAACATTTGGTCCCACTCGAAAATAGTGTAAAATGTATTCTATGGCCAGTGTCAAATTTTCAGTTAATTTGACTCATTTTAGTGTCAAAAACAACAAGTCAGTGAGTCAAATTATTTAACACTATTGTTTGTTTACACTCTTCAGAGTAATACTGTTATTTTTATGGCGTTAATTTTACACTAAATTTACTTAAACATTTACACTTTATTGTGTTTTACACTTATATCATATGATGCTAAATCTTAGCATTAAATGGCTTTTATAAAACATACCAATCACAATAATCACAAAGTTATAAGTTCACAGTGACAATATTTATTCAACTTTATGATCCAGTGACATAATTACTGTAACAGTGTCAGCATAATCATCTTCAAAACAATGTTCACCAAAGATAGCAATATGGGACACAAAGAGAGTAGTGTCATTTGCATGTAACATAGATGGTTGACATCAAACAATAAAACCTTGCATCGTTTTAGTAACTTCATAAGCATAACAATATTCATGAAAAGTTACTGTACATATGTCACACTAATGAAGCATTCTTGCTCTCAACTCAGCAACTCTGGATGTTTCCTTTGTTTTTCCAACATTTATCATGTTGTAAACAATTGTTTTGAGAAAGGTGAAGAAGTTGGTTAAGGGAGCACTGTATGACGTACCAAACACATAACAGGCCTTAAAGAGCTCAAGAGCTCCAACTGAACATGTTGCCTTACATGGAATGGCATAGTTGTCAATCATAATGAAGAATGCATGAATACTGCTTTGGATGGATCCCTGGGCCAGGAGGTAGGGCTGGGTACGTTGCGTGATTTTGTCGACGGACTGCGTTGTTTTCAGCTTCTGTATCACAAATGAAAGTTTGAAAAGTGGTGTGTATTTTTACCCAATTCATTTATTTCTTTTTGACCTTCCACCAACAAAAAAGCCTCCGCTTTTTGTCTATGTTGGACCGTCATGTAAAACCCCAAATAAATAAAAAAAAAATCACATGCAGGCTTGTGGTCGTAACATGACAAAATGTTGGAAAGCTCCGTAATTAGTTTTCAACTGTTGCTAGCTTTCAACCATTTTTACTTTACTGTGTTTCTTTTTAGTTTAACTGAAATGAGTCGTTCTCCTGAGCTCCAGTCTGAGTAACAGATTTTGTTAAGGAAAGGCTAATTGTTCCTTGCCAAAACAATTAGCTGACTAACTGAAAAATAAACGGCCAATAATTAGCAGACTGAATGATAATGAATGCCATTATTGGTTGCAGCCGTAATTAGCTGCCTATTGTTTTCAGATTTGTTTGTCTTGAAGACACAGGAAGTGGCTAACTGGGACCAGAGGGGAATGAATGGGTTTTGTCATTGGATTCGTGTGTGCAGTGCTCATCCTGGCACACCAGGGTCTTTAAGTTTGGAGGTGGAGAAAAGCAGAAGCTGCTCTAAGGTTGTTGCTTTTTTTTCTTTTTTTTTCTTTTTATTTGACTTCATTTTTTTTCTTGGATCAGGGAGAGTTCACCTCTTGGTGAAGGATGCAATTTTTTTTTCTTTGCTCCCCACTCCTTTGTCCAGAGCTCCAACGCTTCACCGCCCACGTCAGATTCTCTGACTTCACTTCCTCCCCTGGCTCTGCTCGCCCACCCATATCCTACAATGACTTACCGAGCTATCTCACTCTCACTTTTTAGTTTCCACTTTTCTACAGAAGGTATTAATTCAACAAAAAAAGAGAGACAAGAAAATAATTTATTGGGTTAAGTAATGGAGTTTGTCAGGTAGGGATGACCGGTGACCAGAACCAGACTAAGGTTTTAATCCGAAATCCAAAAACCCAACGTTTTTCCAATTACGCAGCGACACATCATACCGATGACGACGGCGCTCTTTGAGGTGGAAGTTGTTGCTAAACAATGAAGAAACGTCTATATTCATTGTCAGTAGCCGCGTTTCCATTGCAAAAGTGCATAAAACGATTTGGATGTTCTGCTAATGTCGAAAAAACACAATTATGCAATTGTGTTGTTTCCATTGAATAAAAGAAATTAAAATCCCACGTAAATAAGTTTGTTCACATGATAAGCCATTAAAAATCATGGCTGGGTGCTGTGGTGGTTCAGGGGCAAAGCACAACCCACATATTGAGGCCTTAGTCCTCGTGCCGGTGGTCGCAGGTTCAACCTTCTTTCCCGTCAAACTTCTTTCAAATAAAGACAACTCGAGCCAAAAAAACCTTAAAAGAAAT